GGATGGATGGATGGATGGATGGATGGATGGATGGATGGATGGATGGAATGATGGATGGGTGAGGAGGGCAGGGCAGGGAAGAGGATGGAGGGACGGAGAGATGGAAGGAGGGATGGAGGGAGGGATGAGGAGGGCAGGGCAGGGAAGAGGATGAATGGAGGGAGGGAGGGAGGGATGAGGCAGGGGAGAGGAGAGAGGGAAATTGTTCAGAGTCTCACGCGGGAACAACCCAACCCCACACTGGCCTACACTGACCTGCCTTTCCACTTTTAAGCCAATGTTTCCCCCCCCAGCTGGCAACTGGGGGAGCTCAGGCGTCTGTCCCCCTCCATTCCTGGAGCCCTCTAGCCTGCTCCAGGAGAGGGCAGGAGCAGCCATGCATAAAAGGCCCTGGCCACAGGCAGGCCGAGGGGTCCAGGGATGCCTATCACGTGTGCTGCAGAGGTGGGCATTCAGCAGGTTCTGACCCGTTCTGGAGAACCGGTCACGGAATTCTTGAGTAGTTCCGAGAACCGGCCAATCCCACCGCTGACTGGAGATTTTATAGTATAATAAAAGAGTAAAATAATTTCAGTCCCACCACCGGTGTGCCGCCCGGTGCACCTGACCCGCTTATGCTTCCTTGGGGATAACTGGCCTGCTCCAGAGGCGCACTTACCGTGTCCACCCCGCCGGCCGTTAACTCGGTGACGTTGGCCTTGATGGAGTCGAGGGGCAGCTCAGCCTGGACCAGCAACTCCGCCATGATGCCCGAATACTTGCGGGGTTTCCCCAGGCAGAACTCCTGGTAGATGTTCTGGATGCATTTGTCAGCTGGAAGAGACCACATCCCAGCAGGGGAACCACGGTGAGAAGCCCCCGAGACCCAGGCCCCGCCCGATGGGGTGCCCCCCATCCACCACCCAGGACACCCAGGGAACCTGGATGGAAAGGGGGTGCCATGCAGAAGGGAAGCTGGGCCCCAAAGCAGCTTACAGGGAGGAGTGCGAGGGGGCCCCGTACCCCAAACTCTGGATAACCCCCAAGGCCAAGCTCCACATTTTCCCCAGCCAGGAGCAATGCTGCAGCTTCTGAGAGACTCAAGGAAACCGTCCTAGCACTGATGATGTCACCTAGTTTGGGTTATGAAATGTGTGCCAGAAAACCACCCAGCTCAGAGAGCACCAAGGG